GCATAATGATAATTACCATTCACTGAGTGCTGCCTGTAAGCTGAGAACACTATACATCTCAAACAGAGCATCTCCACAATTCTCACTGTGGCTCTGAAAAATAGGTGCTATTAACCACCATGCTTGATAGACAGGGGGCAGAGAAAAGTGAAATAACTTGCCCAAGACTGGGCCACCCAGTTAAAGGCAGGGAGCTGGGATTTGAACCTGGTAGTCCAACTTCAGTGCTTGTCCTGGGTGGTGCTATGTGCCTCTGTCTCCTTGGTGTCCAGATAGCACCCAGCAGTCTGGGTTTTATGGTCATCACCGTCACTGGTGAGGCTCCTTGAATCTGCAACTCTAGGAGGAATAGCAACGAGCTGGAGCAGGAAGGGGTGAGAAGCATCAAGGGGGATCAGTGCAGGATGGCACAAAGCACTGCCATTGGGTAAGTTCTGAGCCCAGAGCCCACTTACTCATGGTGGTCGGCAGCTTCTAACATGCCCCCCAATGATCCCACCTTCTCGGCCCTCATGTAATCTCCTCCCTTTGAGTGTGGGGTGGACCTAGAGACTCACATCCAGTGAATAGAAAATGGCAAAATGATGGGATGTCCCTCCCAAGATTAGGTAATAAGTAGACTGTGGCTGTCTTGGGCTCTCCTGTTCTCTCTCTCCCTTCCTGATCACTGTGTTGGGCACCAAAGTGGCTCAAAGTGTACAGGCCCACTGACGCGGTGTAAAGCTGAGGTCCTCAGTCTGGCAGTCCACGGGAGGACCTCGTGGAAGTGGTCCCTAGCCCCTGACACAGCTGAGCCACACAGCTGAGCCTTCAGTGAGTCTGATAGTGTCACTGTGACCTCATGAAGGACCTTGAACTTAAGCTGCCCAGCTAAGCCAGGCCTGAACTTAAGCTGCGGTATTTTGGGATAATTATTTAGGCAGTGATAGGTAACTAACATCTTCTCTATGAACAACCTGCCAATCTCCCTTAAATAGAGAGCCGTGTGATTAATCATCTTAACCAGGACAACTCTGCAAATGAAATCACACTGGGAAGACAGGCGTTAACTCGGACCATTCTTGGGAAATCAGAACATGGAACAAGAGGAGTAGTTGTGGCCTGTTTGGAATTCTCCTTGCATCGGCTCCTTGGGTCCTTTCATGCCCCACACCCCACCTGGTGGAGGTGCTGGATGCCAGCTTCCTGCTACAGGCCCACCTAGGTCTTGGTGTTCTTTACTTTGGCACTTGCCCCTGCGTGGCCTCTAGGGGCCCAGTCCTCACTGGAGCTCCATGCCCTCTGCACAGTGAACACTGTAGGATCTCTGTCCCTTCAGCATCATGACCTGGCCCTGCCATCTCTGCTTTCTGTGCCGTAGGCATTGTTGGTGGGAAGATCTCCATCCTGCTTGGGGTCCAAGCCAACAGTAGGTGTCCCCCTCCAGCAAACGTGGATCTGGTGGTCCTTTTGGTAAACGTTGAGCTTATGTGGGGCAAGGGACAGAGGCTCAGGGTGGCCCCTATTCCAGGAAGAGTTTTGCAGGAATGTTGCGGGCTGGGGCTGGATGATGTTCAGGATGAGGCCCTCCCTCCATCTCTCATGGTGCCCACTTCCTGTCCTCTTGCCTCTGAACGGCCCATGCTTTCTATGGCCTCCTCCACCCTGAATCCCAGAAGGAACCATCCTGATTGCTTTAGCAAATTAACCCATGCTCTGAACCGGTTTTCCTTAAAATTAAAATAAGATAAAACAAAACAAAACACAACAAACCTAAAAGCAAAAAGCCAAAGGAAGCACCCCATGAAAAAGGGAGGCTTGCAGGAATTGTAGGTGGAGGAAGCAGCTGTCCCTTGCAGGGCAGCATACAGGCAAAGCCCCACAGTGTCAGGGCTGCGTGTACCCCCCACTTCCTTTGGTCTCATCTCTGCTGTCTAATGTAAGCCCTCTCCAAGCCTGATGGCCCCTTCTCTGGCCCTTTGTTGCCACAGAAATGGCCCACTCAGCTAAGCCTCTGTTCAAGCCCTCCAGCTGCGTGAGAGGCTCACGCCCTTAGGAGCCCACCATCACAGGGCAGGGGGATGGGGGCGGCTGCTCACTTATTTATGGGCCACTTTTGGGGATAATGCCCACTCAGGTGCACAAAGCCGCTTCTTCTGGGCAACAAATAGCCGTCTTGCCTCCTTGAACAGGGACTGAGGGTGGGCCCAATCAGCTGGAGTGGGACACTGGTTATGGTAGTGCCCTTGAGGTTCCTCCAGAAGGGGTTCAACCATGTTGCGGTTGGTGAGACCCTACCATGGTTGAAATACTGAATCACATTGAAACAATAAATCGTATTCAATAAGAATATAATTAATAAGCTGAAAATGAATCCACGTTAATTGGAGTGATCACTTTAATTTTTAAATAGTACCTCACCACTTAGGGACCATCAACCATAGAGACCACCCACCTATTGGACCCACATCGTGGGGGCCTCCTGTCCTGGAGCAGAGACAAAACCCTTATGGTCACTTCCGACGGGGTGTGTGGTGACAGCAGTTTCTCTGACTCTCTCACAATTCTGAGCTTTGCAGTGGCAGGGGGCAAAAATGACTTCTCAGAGGCTTCACAGTGGTGGTCCTGTGATGTTGCCCCTTCCTTGACCACCTCGGGCAGGTGGGCAGGTGCAACCACACATGAATTGCTCCTCGTGCCCTTCTGCTGTGAAACTGGTGGTGTGAATGGCTCATCCTGACACTGCAGGGGTCACGTTCAGCCGGAAAGTACTGGTGACTGCGTTCCACCTTTGAGCTCCATCCATGAGGGCTGCTTGCAAAAGCCCCCCAACAGCCAGTGCTCACGGCTCCCTCCTCTTGACACGAGGCCTCCTTCCTGTGGGAGCACTCACATGCTTGCAAGCTCGATGTTAATTAAGCATTAATAGGGCGGAGACCAATTGATTTCCCTGTCAGCTGCTCCAGCTCTCATTCCAGAGAAAGGCAATAGAACACGGTGTTTCAATAGATCTTTGCAAGACAGGCATACGAGCAAATGGAATTTTACTTTCTCAGTTACTAGAGCTTTTTAAACTGATGACTGGCCAGGGCCCAATTCAGTTTCAGTGTCTGTCCCAAGGTATTCCTTTTCAAGGAATTTAACAGGGGTACACTTGGAACTTCTCTTGGTAGACAAACTATAACAAATGGTCTTCTCTCTGTCGAGTAATCTCAAATAACTATCATAAAACCACATTGAAAAAATTTTCAAAACGCCTCAGGTAGAGAACTTCAATTCTTTTTGGAACATGATTAATCAGAGACTGAAAGATGAACCCATGTTTATTGGAGTTGTCGCTTAAGCTAATTTTTAAATAGTGTCTCATTTAAATAGTACTTTAGATAGTACTCTAAGGTAATTTAGCATCATTAAACAGGCCACTAGGAAATGTCTCTTGCCTATCAGTTAAAAACCACACACACACACACAAACACACACACACACACACACGATTTCCAATTTAGGATGGTTCGATATATGATGTTTTGACTTCTTACTGGTGTGATAGTGATACACATTCTACACAAACTCTTACTTCGAGTACCCATACAACCATTCTCTTTTTCACTCTCAGCACAGTATCCAATAAATGACATGAGATATTCAACATTTAACTATAAATTAGGATTTCGCCCAACTGTAAGTGTTCTGAGCACGTTAAAAGCAGGCTACACTAAGCTATGATGTTCAGGAGGATAAGTGTATTAAATGCATCTTTGACTATGGTATTTTCAAATTAGGATGGGTTTACTGGGATGTAACCCCCATGGTAAGTCAAGGAGTATCTGTGTATACACCCACAAAACTACAGAGAAGCAAGGTATTTCCCACGCCTACTTTAAAGATAACGCTATCCCGTTTCCGGGCGCTCAGGGCTCCTGCTCTGGGCAGCGCCTCCCTTGGGCGGTCCAGCTCTTCTGGGCAGCCCCGGGCGCTCCCACACACATGCTGCCTCCTTCAGGGCGGGCCTTATAAAGTTGCGCTGTTCCCGATGTAGTTATTTCTATCTTGTGTTGCCCGTTTCAGTATTTCCCAAACAGAACATACTGACCATCGCTGAGTGTTTTCCCCATGATTCCAATCAATGTCCATATCCATTCAACAACTTTCAGCGTTCAGGGAACAGGGAAGGCACTAGTGCCCCGCTCTGGGCTGGACGCCCGGGCTATGTGAGAAGAGCCGGAGGCCAGGGCTACCTCCGGAGCCTCGCGGCGGGCACGGGTCCCAAGGCCTGCGGTAACAGTACCGGGGGGCAGCCCAGGCCATACACACTAGAGCCTCGCGGAGCTGCTGGCCAGGAGGCCAGGGCAGCAGGTGCGCGGCCACAGGGCCCTCGCAGAGCTCCTCCAAGAAGGGGTCTTCAGAAATAACCCCTGTGGAGAAGGAGTGGGAGGTGCTCCGGCTGCAGCCTCGGCGGAAATAACCCAAGACGTCTAGTGAAAAAGAAGCCGGCCTAACTTTGCTTAATCCAGAATGTATCAAGCATACATGGTCACCGACCACCCCCTCTTGGTGCTCTGCTATGACATCATTACTTTTCTGAGAACTGTTGTGTTCATCATGCAGAATGCCTGCAGCCAGCCTAACGGCCGGCTTCCTCCGGGATGGGTTTTCCTCACCCTGCAGCCCAGGATGTGGAAACATCCGCCCCCGCCCCCGCGCAGCCCCAGTCCCCGCGCAGCCCCCGTCCCCGCGCAGCCCCGGTCCCCGCCTGGCACTGTCCCCGCCCCCTCCCCTCCCAGCTTCACCCTGTCCCCGCCCCCTCCCCGCCCAGCTTCACCCTGCCCCCGCCCCCTCCACTCCCTCCCAGGTCTCGCCCTCCCCGGCCCCCTCCTCACGCGGTTCTGTCCTCGCCCCAGCTCCTTCCGCTCCCTGCCCGGCCCGGCCCCGCCCCCGCCCCCGCCCGGCTCCGCTCCCGCCCGGCTCCACTCCGGGGCGAATGGGGGCCTCTGCTCACACCAGATTGGCGGGACGGCCTCACGTGACCGCATCTCTTGGACTCTCGATGTTACCGAAAAGGAGGAAAGGATTTGGGGCGGGCAGTCCTGGAGCCTCTCGCTGGCCTTACGGAGAGAGAGGGCTGGGGTGGAGGAGAGCCCTGGGGAGCAGGCAGAGGTGGGTTGGCGAGGACCTTGTGTGACTTGTGCCGAGAAACTTCACTTATTCCCTGGGGCTGGCAGTTGCCAAACTGGGTCTTGTAGATGCTAAGTCTCCGTAGAGGTCTCTTAGGTATGTTGCAAATGCTTGATTTGAATTACTTTTTTTTTAAACAAACGTATTTTAAATGATTTTTAAAGCCTACTGTAAAAGACTGCCCAAATGTGCTGTGTCTCATTTATGGTTCTTTATTCACGTGCAAGAGGAGCTGGCTCTGCTCTCCACAAAAGGGCTGCTGGTTCCCTCTGGCCGTGATTTTGAAACGTTTTAAGCAGCAAAATCCCCTTCCAAACCGAGAATTCTGCAGTGCCTCAGTCAATAAGACTGATAGAAGCTATATTTATTGGGATAGAGTGATTTTATAATATTTATTACACAATTGACAACCCAGGGAAAGAAAGATTGAGCTGGAAAGAGGGAAGGCACAGGGGGAAGGGAGACATCACCAGGCTGCAGGTGGGAGAGGGAATGGAATGGTGGCTCAGACAGGTGCAGGCGGAGTGAAGAACTCATAGAGTCTTGCTTTTCCGGCTCCGGGCTCTTTCTTGCTCATGGATTGGATGTGGGACCGCAGGGTGGCAAGAGAGAAAACCTGGATGACTCCTGAGATTTTGGCTTGAGCAACTGGGCAGGTTCTGGTGCCAGTTGTTGATGTGGAGTGTGGGAAACTGAACATGGCCTCGTGTGTGCGGGTGCACTTTTGGGCGGTTACAGGAGGTAGTGGTAAGGAATGATAACAACAGAACATCAGGGTAAGCCTGATAAAGAATTATAAAAATCAGGCCATCAGGGTAAACTCAACATAACTACTGATGCAAATTGAATAGCCTCTGGCTGTTTACTAAAAATGGAATAAGGGATAGTAACTGTAGCTTTAATTCTGTAACAACAGAGCTAAAAAAAATCTACCATAACTGTGTAGACACTTGCTGGCTACCTGAGTGCATTCAAGGTTTTTCTAAATAATAAAATTGTCCAATCATTCTCTATTTTGAATTGGCATGTTCCTGTGGCTGTTGGTTTCTTCTCTGCCCCCACAAGTTTGGTGACAAGGATGGGACACCTTGAGTGAGCCTTTCCACTGGGCAAATTGGAGGATGTGTAGCCATCTTCGGTCAGACAAGAGGCCCTGTTTGCTGAAGTCTTTCTTCAACACTTTGACTCAGTAAGTCCATCATTTGATCGACCCTACTGTCGTAGCTTACACCAAAGAGAAATCATGGTCATATGTAAAGCTATATCCTCTCCCTAGCTCAAATATACAGGGAATAGAACCTATAATTAGAGAACTAGAAACAGAATCATAAAGAAATGACATTTGCCTTGTAATACTCTCTGTATATTACTTATGAAAAAGGAAGGAAAAGTGGCAAGGTTAGCTTGCTTACAGGTTTTTACAAGATCTGATAGAAATATATTTTTGGTGTGTCTGACAGTTGTAGTACGCAACCCTGCTACTACGTTAACCTCCTATTATGTAACCTAATTTTAGTAATAAACTTATGTTGAGCTTTCTTTTCTATACCTTTAGCAGAGGAACCAAGGTATCTCTTTGTGTTTACCTATGAAGGCTTTTCATATTAGTGGCAATGCATGCCCCAGGGATTCAGAGATTTGCCTACCATAACCTCTAGGCATTTGCAAAAGAACTTAAAGAAACTTCCCCCGTCTTAGGAGTCTGTATACGGATATATATGTATGATTTATTGGTAAGTAACACCTCATGTGCTTGTAAACAAGACACATTAGGCTGGACGTGGTGGCTCACGCCTGCAAAACTAGCACTTTGGGAGGCTGAGGTGGGCAGATTGCTTGAGCTTAGAGTTCGAGACCAGGTTGGGCAACATGGTGAAACCCTGTCTCTACAAAAACATAAAAATTAGCCAGGCCTGATGGTGGGTGCCTGTAGTCCCAGCTACTTGAGAGGCTGAGGTGGGAGGATCTCTTGAGCCTGGGAGGTGGAGGTTGCAGTGAGCCGAGCTCGCACCACTGCACTCTAGTCTGGGTGACAGAGTGAGATCCTGTCCCCAAAACAAAAATAAGATACATTAGCTTTACCAAAATTCTAACCTCTCAAGGGCATAAAGCTCCTTTAGATAATTTGCAACATCGTTAGACCGAGGTCAAGTATTTGGAATATTTGTTAGTGGCTGATGGATGGAAAATAGTTCCGTCGCCAAAGCCAGCTTTACAAATGAAGCAACAGCTCCATGAAGCAGTAACTTTGTCACTGCAGAGAAACAGCTCCACCCTGTTGAGGTTGGTGTGCATTGCAGGCAACGGGTCCCTGCCTCTTCTGAGAGGGAAGCCACTCCTGGTGCTGCATGAAGCATCGCTAGGTGCATTTTTGCAATAGCTAGGAGAAGCTAAAGAAGCCTTCGGATCCTTAAGTAGCCATTGATTTTCCTACCTGTACTTGGAGTCAGTTCCTAGCTGGTCATCTCTTCTCCCTTTTCTGTGAGGAGAATAAGGGTGCTGTTAGTGGTAGGTGTGCTTCCTCAAACACTAGCCTTTGGTTGACTTTTATGTGCCACTGGATTCTGTTCCTCCAGGGATGCCAGTCTGTTTAGAAGTCATTCCAACATTGGGTCTCTGCTTGGGAAGGTGCAGGCCTTGGCTCAGGGATGTAATTATGTGGGCCTTATGCCGTTGCTGCTGCTTTTATTTATTTTTATTTTTATTTTTATTTTTCTGAGACAGAGTCTCACTGTTGCCCAGGCTGGACTACAGTGGCGTGATCTCAACTCACTGCAACCTCTACCTCCCGGGTTCAAGCGATTCTCCTGCCTCAGCCTCCTGAGTAGCTAGGATTACAGGTGTGCACCATCACACCTGGCTAATTTTTGTATTTTTACTAGAGATAGGGTTTCTACTAAACTGCCTAGCTGAGCCCTGCCTGAATTCTATCATCTAGGATGATACCATGTTGGCCAGGCTGGTCTTGAACTCCTGACCTCAAGTGATCCACCCACCTCGGCCTCCCAAAGTGCTGGGATTACAGGCGTGAGCCACCACACCTGGCCTGTTGCTGCTGCTTTTTAAGTTCCTATGACACAGCGCTTGTCAGTGCTCTGTAAGCGTTACTGTCTGACCCTAGTGGGATTCAAGGAAGGTGTGAACTTTGAGCCCAGTGACTCTGTTGCCAGATCCTGACTGGACAGCAGCACAACCACCTCGCAGCCCTCAACGAAGACGTGTGGCCTCCATCTGATTCATCATATAGTCTCGTTCCCATGTTAACTTAATAGCATTCGTTGATGGGTCTTATGTGAGAGACACAGGAGGAGACAGAAAAGCACCCAATGCAGAAGTCAGTTCTCATGGGATTCTACAGGCTTGCATCCCCCCACACAGAAAGTCAGCCCAAGCCATGGAACTCAGCTTTTACATGAGCTGTTACAGTCACCACTGGTCTTAATGTGTATATCTATACCGTAGTAAATGTGTGTTTGGGGTCTGTCATGCTGTGGGACAAATTAAAAAACAGAGGCTTTCTAATACTAATGGGAATGACAGCATCATGGGGAAAGTAACTGCCCATTTCTGTAGTTCATACCGGCTCTGTGGAGGCCCTGGTGGGAGGATGTGGGGAGCTCCATTAGCTGTTTCATAGGTGCCACTTGAGTCATTTATCAGCATCCAAGCCTGGGGCTCGGGGAGGCTGAACATAGGCAGGGGCAGTGGGGACAGGAACAGGGGTAGATGGAAAAACATTAAGGAAGCACTTGGTGCTTATTGGAAGGCAGAGTTGTCTAGGAAAGCGTCTGGGCCTCTGGATTGGGTGATTGGATGACTAGCTGAGACATTTGCAATTTCACTGTTACTGGAAATACACGAAGACGGGGTGCAGGTTTTGCAGGACTCATTTGTGGTCACGTTGAATTTAAAGTGGATGTAATAATACATGTTGATGTCATTCTGAGTGATGACAGAAATTGGATGCAAAGGAACATTGTGAACCAGGTGCAAAAATCTTGTACCAATATAGCTCGGGAGATGAAATCTCTGAGGTGTAGGGTGTTACTTAGCTGAATGCTATGAATAAAGATGGAACAAGTATTTTTTTAATGAGAAATGTAAAAAATGGCTGTATTTTTTTATGACAAGTGAGGACACAGCCAACTCTATCTGTTGACCCCAAGGTGTTCAAGGTAAAGGAGAAGGCTCCCATTAACGTGGCCTCACAAGAGAACCAGACTTCAGGGAGAGGAGAGCAGAAAGTGATTATATTATGGGTTAGGTGGAAGTTGTGGGGACATGAAATGGTGTCCTTAAGAGGCATTTCCAGTTTACTCTGAAGGATGATACCTTCATCTAGGCCTTCAAAGATTCTTAATAACTTCCCAAGTACAATAACTGCACATAGTCAAAGATGGTCAAAATGAAATAAGATACCATGAATGAAAATCAGCAGCACCAGCCCACCTCCCAAAAAATTAACAATGGATTCTCAAAGACTTAGACGTTGAAATGATCAGATGTAGAATATAAAACAAATCTTACTATGTTTAATCAAGACAAGATTGAAAATATTTGCGGGGAATAGGAAAGTGTATAAAGTTATATAGTAGTATTGAAAAAAGAACAGAACTTTTAGAAGAAACCAAGGTTAAAAACTCAGGTGAAATCTCTTGACCTGTTTGTTGCTAGGACATTCTCTCTGGGACCCCTGAGCCCATCTAACCTCCAGTCCGTCCATCAACTGATTACTGCTCAGTCACCTCAGTCGATACCACTGGGAGTGGGAGAACTGCCTAGCTGAGCCCTGCCTGAATGCCTGACTCATAACTCATGGTGTAAGTGAAAGTGAATACCCAGCCACACCCAGATAAAGACCTAGACAGAAGCCCAGGGGTCTGTTTCTCCCACCCCTGCCACACCTCCAAAGGCACTTGCTATCTTTTTTTTTTTTTTTGAGACAGAGTCTCTCTGTCGCCCAGGCTGGAGCGCAGTGGCGTGATCTCGGCTCACTGCAAGCTCCGCCTCCTGGGTTCACGCCATTCTCCTGCCTCCGCCTCCCGAGTAGCTGGGACTACAGGCGCCTGCCACCACGCCCGACTAAGTTTTTTGTATTTTTAATGGAGACAGGGTTTCACCATGTTAGCCAGGATGGTCTTGATCTCCTGACCTCGTGATCTGCCCACTTTGGCTTCCCAAAGTGCTGGGATTACAGGCATGAGCCACCGCGCCCTGCCAACCTGCTGTCTTGACCTTCATGATCCGTAGCACAGTGCACTCCTAAATATTGCGTATGCGTCCCTAAACAACATACTGTATCCGTAACATTTAAAACCTTATTGATTGTGAAGTGTGCCATTATCTTACTTACCAATAAGGAAAAATGATGCAATTAAACTGACACTTTTTGATTAGAATTTTCATTTTATGCTTATTAAAAAGCATACTTATCGCTTGTAACTTACTAACCCAAGCTGATGCCTCACACATACACGAAAACAGATTGAAAATTCTTAAGCAGCTCAAACTGCCAAAAAGGCCAGCTGTGCAGCTGGACTCAGCCAGACACTCAGCAGTGGCACCAGCAGCTCCTCTGTATGAGCTATGATGAGGCTCTGGAAGTTTGAAGATGATGCCACCTATTGGCTAATGAGGTCAAATGGTCTTGACTTTTGTGGTAATTATGATGCTAAGAGTGCCAGCCATCTGTAAGAAAGCCCAGAAAGAGTGGAGATGCACTATGCTAAGAAATTCTCAATGGCCAGCACTCTTTTTGCATAGAGAATGATACAGCAAGGGGAGACACAGACACAGACAATCTGGGTCAAAAGTGATGCGGAGAATGTGGAGCCCAATTAGGAAGAGGTTTTAAGACTACCTGAACCAGAATATTTTGCTTAATTTTTCTTTTTTAATGCACGCACAAGCATAATGTATAATAAAAGCTGTGTGCACACACATCATAAATTTTCTTTTTAATAAGCATAAAATGAAAATTCTAATCAAGAAAGTGTTTTTTCGTTTAACTGCATCATTTTTCATTATCTGTGTGTAAGATTATTACATACTTCATATTCAATAGAGTTTAAATGTGTTAACTAAAAAAATCATGAATCTATAAATGTAGGGAGAAGCCTTTATTTCTTATAAGGGTTAGAGTCTGTAAGGGGGCCATTCCTCAGGCTGGGAAGCATAGCGTCTGGCAAAGCCCACAGGTATTTTCAAAGAGGAGGGGCTGAGATAGGAGCTTTGTGCCCAACAGGTTGGCTGAACATACATATTCAACAGCTTACAGGAGGAGCTATGAATAATCATGAAAACCATCCTGATGCATGCGTATTGAACCATAGGTATGTAACCTATGACCTATTCCACCCTGGGTAGGAGACTTAGCATTTAAATGTATTACAATTAGGCCCTATATGTGAAAAGATCTTTTCAGGACCTGAAGGCAGCCTCTGTAAACCGGCCAGAACCAGTCTGTGGTGGTTGGTCTTCTTATCTGGGGAAAGTTACTGAAATCTATTTCTTATCCAATCAAAGCTGTAGTTATGGCTGATGAAACAGCAGGCTCAGTTAGTCATTGTCTAGTGGTGAGTTACAAATTGCTTTAATATTGTTTATCTCATGGCCAGTGCTTGTTTTGTTGCTAGAGAAAAGGAAGAACCTTATGGCAGTTGGAAAATAGTTTATTCTTTAAAGCATAGGGATGTGGGACTTAACCCTTGCCTGACATGGCCTTGGGTCCTGTTTATAATGTGGCATCTTATTGCCACAGAGCCTTCTGTCAGTCTTACAGCCTCTATTTTAACATGAATGCTGGTCAGTTGTTGTGTGTATACTGCAAGCAAAAGGGAGGGGGGATAATGAGGCATGTCTGACCTCCCATCCCATCATGGCTGAGAACTCAGTTTTTAAGGTTTTTCTGGGGTCTTTTTGCCCAAGAGTGGGGTCTATTCAGTTGGCAGGGGACTTAGGATTTTATGCGGTGGTTCACGCCTGTAATCCCAGCACTTTGGGAGGCTGAGGTGGGTGGATCATGAGGTCAAGAGATCGAGGCCATCCTGGCCAACAAGGTGAAACCCTATCTCTACTAAAAATACAAAAATTAGCTGGGCATAGTGGCGCACACCTATAGTCCCAGCTGAGGCAGGAGAATCACTTGAACCCAGGAGGCGGAGGCGGTAATGAGCTGAGATCGCGCCATTGCACTCCAGCCTGGGCGAGAGAGTGAGACTCCATCTCAGAAAAAAAAAAAAAGAAAAAAAATTTACAGATATTATGAATACCGTAGGTCATGTAGGGATGCATATGCAGGTGAACAAATGAAACACAGCAAGGAATTGACTGTGGTAAAAGTCAAGATGGTGGGCACCATGGGTGTTGAGGCAGGGGTTAGGGAGAGAACCTTGGCTTCTGGCAGGCTCTAGGTTTTCACCTGGGTGTGGGTGGGCATGACTTTTACTATTATTGGGTGAATTATAAATATATGTTTTATGCACTTTTCTATGTGTGTTATTTTCATAATTAGAAAGTTTAAGTCCAGGCATGGTGGCTCATGCCTGTAATCTCAGCACTTTGGGAGGCTGAGGTGGGCGGATCACTGAGGTCAGGAGTTCGAGACCAGCAATTTGGAAGCAGAAATCCAAACAACAGGGAGCTGAGTGCAGCAAGGGCAGGGTCCTGGGAGGGCCTCTCCAGAGACCTTTCTCCTGGAGGGAAGATGGGGTCATTTTGCTGAGCAGAGGGCAGCAGTGGTTTCCTTTTAGATGCTGTGGGTGCCCCTGTCAGCAGGAGCCCCAGTTGTGGCCTCAGGGATGGGAAGGAGAGCTCTTTCAGTGTTGCCTTAGGTGTGCGTCGGTGTGTGTCCTAACCCAGTCCTTCCCACACTTCCCCACGTGCTGATCACTGTGAGCACTTCTAAGGCCTGGGTCTTTGCATTAGAAACTTATTTGTTAGGGGTACGGGGGCAAAGAAGGCACCTGGCACTCATCCTCATCTCCAGCTTCCACGCTCGGGCAGGATGTCTTTGTCCCTGAGTGAGGTGGTGAGCGTTGCTGGCCCCACAGTGTTACCTGCCTCTACCTGGTCGGGTGAGCCAAGGGGGACCCTGTCCATGATGTCTGGGCTAAGATGTCCCTGTCGGCGACCCTGGCAGGTCCTCTGTCCTGCCACTGCTCCTGTGGTCACATAGGGGGTCTGCTCCTCATGGACCCCCTACCCCCATGTAGTTGTAATGCGAGTGAGGGGTTCTAATTTTGTGGGCTTTATCTTGGTGAAATAAAGGTTAATATCACAGAACCGAAAACAAAGCTGCTGCTCATTACTAGGGGGTTTCAGCTACTCCCTTTCTGCAAAACAATAAATCCAATCTTCACATTTTCAGCTTTCTCATGATTCTCACCCTCCCTTCTAAGGTAAGATAATCCTAACAATACTCTTGGAGAAATTCTATGTGTATGCGTGTGTGTATGTGTATGCGTGTGTGTATGTGTATGCGTGTGTGTATGTGTATGCGTGTGTGTGTGTGTGTGTGTAACTTTTTCCTTTGCCAGCTGAAATTAAACTTACTTGGTGAAAGAGACAGCAAGAAAACAACAGGCAGTATTGAACATTTTAGGTGAAACAATGGGGACTTTAAACACGATAATGATGATTACAGGTTGATGGATAAATAGATAACACTTTATGATCAATTACTCTGAGTATTTTAGAATATGTGAATTGCCTGAGAGATATGTGTTCATGTGTATGTGTGTATTTGTGTAGCTGTGTGTATGTCAGATGTGTGTGCACATGTATGTGTGTGGTTGTGTTGCCATGTGTATATCAGCGTTGGAACTGAATGACTAATGTGCCAATCTGTCTTAGGTTATGTTCTTCTTCTTCTATTATGGGCTGATTAATTAAAAACTAACCTGGCAGGTGGACACGGTGGCTCACGCCTGTAATCCCAGCACTTTGGGAGGCTAAGGTGGGCAGATCCCCTGAGGTCAGGGGTTTGAGACCAGTCTGGCCAACATGATAAAGCCCTGTCTCTATTAAAAATACAAAAATTAGCCAGCGTGGTGGCAGGTACCTGTAGTCCCAGTTATTCAGGAGGCTGAGGCAGGAGAATCACTTGAACCTGGGAGGTGGAGGTTGCAGTGAGTGGAGATCATGCCACTGCATTCCAGCCTGGGCAACAGAGTGAGACTCCGTCTCAAAACCAACCAAACGAACAAACAAAAAAACAAAAAGCAAACAAACCGGAAAACAAAAACCTGGCTAGGCTGGGTGCAGTGGCTCACACCTGCAATCCCAGCACTTCGGGAAGCTGAGGTAGGTGCATCACTTGAGCTCGGGGGTTCAAGACTAGCCTAGGCTAGCACCATGCTAGCCCTGAGAAGTAAATTAGCAACTTGATGAGCACGAAGGTCATAGGAGTCTGAAACAACAGGCCAAGGAAGTGGAAGTGAGAGTCAGATGCTTGGTTCCCCTATAGAAACTAAAGATAACATCTTAACATATGTTCCTGAGTTGTTTTTTGGAAACCTAGACCCCTACCAAACAGATCTGTGGCACACAGACCTCTGATAAGGGGGAACCGAAGACTGAATTCTGGACTACCGTTCTTTGTTCTAAATTTCTTCTTGAAGAGCTTGGAGGGAGTCACTCCCGTGAGCCAGAGCTAACGTTCTTTCCTGATGACCCCAAATTTATAAACAAAGCTTCTTTTCGTGAACTAATTGCAAATCAGAAAATTGTTTAATCTACCTATGACCTGTTAGCCCCATCTGTACAAAAAAAAAAAAACCAAGAAAGAAAAGAAAAGAAAAGACAAAATTAGCCGGCGTGA